CTCCGGCTTCCAGCCCCCCACCCCCACCCCGCCGCCCCCTCTCCAAACGCAGGCTCTGCTCTCTCTGGGAATTGACCAGGTTTCCCCAAATTAGATACTAAAGTGTCTCACCTCCACCTCCCGGCTTTCTCTTGCGTAGGGTCTTCGTCCTCTTGGAGAGGGGTCTGTAACCAGGATAAGAAAAGTTCTGCTTCCACTGTTAAATTAAAAACCTGAAGAACACACGAAGTACGCTAAAGCCTGTGCAAACTGCAGAGTGAGATGAGAGAAACCAGGAGGATCCGATGCTAAGGTCTCGCAGGGACAGGAAATGCCCTGGTGGCTGCAAGGCTTGTTTCCTGGGGCGAGTTGGAGTTTGGGGGTCTGAACCAGCAGTTTCTCTCTCTCAAAGACAGTGTTCAGGATGCTGGTGTGGTGGGTGGTCACGGAATCGTCCTGACTATCCTATGTCTTCCACATGAACGTGCTGAGCACTTAGCAGAGGGTTGCAAATTAGAATACCACAGGGAACAAGCAGGAGTGGCCACTAATTTGCTAATGTGGTTTTCTAATAAGTGACATAGATATAGATATATAGGAACTACGATGAGGCAGGAGGAAACATCAAGATGAGTATGAAAAGGCCCTTCCTGCCAAGCACAGCCAGATGGAAGAGACTCATTGGGCAAGCTCTGCACCCTCTTCGGGCACCTCACTCTCCCAGCACCCCCATGGGCTCGCGGAGGCAGAAACTCTCTACACCCTATCTTCTGAGTGTCTAAAAAGGCTCCATTGCATAATTATGATTGAGTAAATCATTGGCTATTGGTGGTAATTGATTCAACTTCCAGTTCTTCTCCCCTCCCTTGAGAAGAGGGAATTACAAGGGTTTTAGGAACTCTGTGCCAGGAATGGGGTCGAAGCCCTAAAATATATTTCTTATTATAAATCACAGTATCACAAGCCCAAACTGAGTAACACAAGCCCACAGGCCAAATACAGACTGCTTCTTGTTTTTGTACAGCAATCAAGCTAATGATGGTTTTTACATTTTCTAAGAATTGGGGAATCAAAAGAAGAATACTATTTTTGTGACAAGTGCAAATTATGTGAAATTTAAATTTCAGTTATCCATAAATAAAGTCTATTAGAACGCATTCATGTTTGTTCTTTTATGTATTGTCACCGGCTACTTTTGTGCTACAAGGGCAGAACTGAGTAGTTGCCACAGACGCTCTATTGATCCACTACTTACTATCTGGCCCTTCACAGACAATGTTTGCTGACCTCTATTCTATGTCACGGATCTGCCTGTCTATGGCAGAGGAATGCCTACAAAACACAGCCGGCAGTCCTGGTGCCCGAGAGGCCTGGCGCCAAGCAGGGAGCAAGCCCCTACTTGCCAGCGATGAGTGGGTGCCGCAGGGCCACAATGACCGAATGCCCGCGCGGGAACATCGCGGAGATGTAGCGGTCCTTGTGGACTGGCTTGGACTTCTTCTGGCCCTGGCCACTCTTGGGGACCTCGGTCCCCATCGCCTCCACATTCTCCAGCACCATGTTGCAGTGCCCGTCAAAAGCCTTCACCCGGCCCAGGAGCTTCTTGTTGTTGCCACAGTTGATGAGCACCTGGGTGTTGTTCTTGACGGACTGCGTGAGCACGGAGAGTGGGCCCGTGTTCAACTCTTCCTCCCCCCGCTTCTGCGGCTCCTCCGCGGTCTTCTCGCTCTTGGGCTTGTTGAGAAGGCTCGTGGGGGCGCTGGTTGCGCTCTCAGAACGCCCCTGTCCTCCGCGTTGCGTGGGCCTCCGAAGAGAAAGAGCTAGCCAGGTTTAGTTTTATAATGTGGGAAAGAAAAGGGGGGTGGGGGAACAACAACTCCCTAAAGATTGTTGTAAACTCTTAGAAAGCAACATGTAAAAATCCTCTTTTTAAAAAAATACATATTTTATTGATTTTTTACAGAGAAGAAGGGAGAGGGATAGAGAGCCAGAAACATCGATGAGAGAGATGGATCAGCTGCCTCCTGCACGCCCCCCAGTGGGGATGTGCCCGCAACCAAGGTACATGCCCCTGACCAGAAGGGACCCTGGGCCCCCTGAGTCCGCAGGCCGATGCTCTATCCACTGAGCCAAACCAATTCGGCGAAAAAAATCCTCTTTTTTAAAAAAAAACTTTTTACCAAGGTCTGCCTTCACCTATATTTGCTCAGTAAATGCTATTGAGTATGCCTAATGCTCAGTAGGTTTTAAATGCTTGTTGAGGGAATAACTGCTTGACTAGTTGGATGGACAGTGCATGAAATTCTAGGGTACCCTGTAAATTGAATGAGACCATGTACAGACTGACTTTGTCTTTTCCTTGAAAGTAATATACCAAATCAAAATGCTTTTACTAAACCTAATAGTATTGAAACTGAAAAGACAGTCTCCAGTCCTGCCACCTCTCAGGAGGTTAATCATATGCTTATCAGCCTTATCTTCCCTTGTGTGCTTGTGGGCGGCACTGTACACAGTCAGCTGTATTTCCCCAGGTGCTGAATAGTAGCAGCACTGAACATTAAAGCTGGAAGGGCCATGAGCCATCATGTGACCCACAGGGAGGAAGAATCTATGGCAAAAGAAGAAGCTGAATCCTGATCTCCTATCCCCCCATCCAGAGTGTTTTGCCTGGTGCCGAAAAGCCTTCAAGCGTGGAGGTGCTCATTAAACACTTGGAGACGCTATGTACTTTCACTTTCACTCTGCTTTTATGCTCAATGTTTGCTTCGCGTTATGGCAGCCTAGAAGAGTTGTTATAAGCAAGGCTTAGGAATCAGACAAACTTAGCTACGAATCCTGGCTCTTCCACGCCCTAGCTGTGCGACCTTTTGCAATCCTGTCTGCTCCCCCTTCAAAATGGAACCTCATCTCTGGCCACACTACCGTGAACATGCATGAAATCATCCAAATACAAGCGAATGTGACACTTCTCACCACCTCCGCTGTTTCCAGCCTCGGCCCAGCATCGCTCTCCTGAACCACCATAATCGGCTCCTGACAGGTCACCCTGCTTCTCTACTCTGGTTTCTCTATAGTCTCTTCGCCAGCCAGCAGCCTAAGTAAGCTTTTAAGACTGTAAATCTGACCACATCGCTGCTCAAATCCTCCAGCGGCTTCCCATCGCTCTTAGCAGAGAGCCCAGGGTTTTGTGTTGCTCACTGCCTCAGCCACACTGGCCTCCTTGCTTTTTCTTTTTTGCTCTTGTATTCCCCAGATCTCACTTCCTCTCTTCTTTCAGGACTCTGCTCACGTACCATCTCAGAAAGCACTCCCCAACACCTACCTTAATATGGCCCTCTCATCACTTTCTTTCCCTATCCCACTTCACTTTTCTTCATAACACTGCAATGCACCAGACATTACGTTATGTACATATTGGTTTATTTATTCAGTACTCCCATCAACCTCCAGGTTGTAAGCTTCGCGTTTTGTGCACTGTATTCCCAGTTCTTAAAACCTAAGTGCTGCCCTAGCTGGTTTGGCTCAGTGGATAGAGCGTCAGTCTGCGGACTGAAGGGTCCTGGTTTGATTTTGGTCAAAGGCACATGCCTGGGTTGCAAGCTTGATCCCCAGTGGGGGACATGTAGGAGGTGGCCAATCAATGATTCTCTCTCATCATTGATGTTTCTATTTCTCTTTCCCTCTCCCTTCCTCTCTGAAATCAATAAAGATATATTTTTTTCTTAAAACCTAAGTGCTGCCCTAGCTGGTTTGGCTCAGTGGATAGAGCGTCAGCCTGCGGACTGAAGGGTCCTGGTTTGATTTTGGTCAAAGGCACATGCCTGGGTTGCAAGCTTGATCCCCAGTGGGGGACATGTAGGAGGTGGCCAATCAATGATTCTCTCTCATCATTGATGTTTCTATTTCTCTTTCCCTCTCCCTTTCCTCTCTGAATCAATAAAGATATATTTTTTAAAAAATTAAATGGACATTGAATGAATAACGTTACTTAGCCCCTCTAATCTAAATCAGATCAGAATCCCCAGGTTTCTGATCTGAAAAATAGGGATAATATTTGCCACAAAGTTATTTTTGAAGTTAAGTACAAATTGAAATAGTGTATATAAACAGTAGAACATAATAAATGCTCACCTCTTTGTTGTTATTTTGCCCCATATTATTATGCTTAAAGTAAAGGAAAATAATCCTCCTACCCTATTTCCAAAGGCTATGATTTTTTTAAATTATAGGGCAGTCCTTACTTTTAAAAGTTAGCATTTTATGTTTTTTAAACTTGCATCTGCTATATTATAAAATATACTAGAGGCCAGGTGCACGAATTCGTGCACGGGTGGGGTCCCTCTGGGTGGCCTGCAGGGATTGGGCCAAAACCCGCAGTCCAACGCTGCCTGCATCTCCTACCTGCTGCTCCCGCTCATCCTGGCCCCACTGTGCCTGCCGCAGGCTCACCCCAATCAGCCCCCATCAGGAGAGGCTCCTGCTGCCACAGAAGTGCTCACCAGCCATGAGCCTGCATCTGGCGCCCTCCCAAGGGGAGTGGCCTGCAGGATCAGGCTGAAACCGGCTCTCTGACATCCCCTGAGGGGTCCCAGATTGCGAGAGGGCACAGGCCAGGCTGAGGGACCCCACTGGTACACGATCGGGCCATGGAGGGACCGCGGGAGGGCTCCAGGGTGTGTCTGGCCCATCTCGTTCAGTCCCGATCAGCCGGACCCCAGCAGCAAGCTAACCTACCCATCAGAGCATCTACCCCTGGTGGTCAGTGCACATCATAGCAAGTGGTTGAGCAGCCTTTGCATATCATTAGCATATTACGCTTTGGTTGTTTGGTTGTTCTGCCGTTCAGGCTATTTGCATATTACCCTTTTATTATATAGGCTAGTTTCAGTATCAGAGAATAGATTTTTGCCTGTATGCTCCTAATGTATAAAAATAAACTGTCATATCAGTTTGACATTAAATCTTAATTGTAATGTTCTATTTATGATAGATAAGTCTCTCAAAAATACATAAAATGCCAGAGACAACAGAAGGCAGAACAAAATACATTATGGAACATGCAAAGCTAGAACAGGGCTGAAAAGTTGAGAAAGTTATTTAACAGAGGCATACAAAGATACAGAATTTAATGTTAATATTTAGCTGTAGTCAATCCTGAATACAAATTTGTGCAAACATTTAAATAATGAAAGAACATATCTGAAGTAGAAAGTGACAGTCCACTATAATCCACTCACTCTTTCCATGCCCCAAAATAATAATTATTAACATCCCATTGCAAATCCTCCTTGATTTTCCATGTACTGATATACATATAAGTGTACTATGTATCTCTTTTATCAAAATGGCATTGGACTATACATACTCTTTGGCAATCTTTTTCTCTTAATATATCTTTCCATGTCAGTATTATAGTTTTCTTTCAATTCCTCAAACATGCCAAACTTTGCTTACCTTAGGGCCTTCCATAAAACCCTGAAATATTCTTTCCCATACATTGCAAGTATGGTTCCTTGTTTCCCTTTAATGCCTAAGTATTTTATTCTTTTTTAAAAAATATATATTTTATTGATTTTTTACAGAGAGGAAGGGAGAGGGGTAGAGAGTTAGAAATATCGATGAGAGAGAAACATCGATCAACTGCCTCCTGCACACCCCCTACTGCACACCCGCAACCAAGGTACATGCCCTTGACTGGAACCGAACCTGGGACCCTTCAGACCGCAGGCCGACGCTCTATCCACTGAGCCAAACCAGTCAGGGCAGTATTTTATTCTTTTCGTTGCTATTATAAGTGGAATTGTTCTCTTAATTTTTTTCTCTTTAACTTTTGCATTCTATCATTCTAAATGAACATTATACTCTTTTATATTCCTGGAATCCTGAAATGTTTGAAAAATAATTACATAAAAGTGAGTGAGTTTCATGAGGTTTTAGAATTTGATTTAGGTGCGTGTGCTTCCAGATCATGTGCCTGTGCACCCGCCTGCAGGAGTAAAGATATTTGCCTTGCAAAAAAAAAAGAATTTGATTTAGCCTATAAGTACAAAAAACGGTTCTGACACCAGTGGCTTTTAACTCTGACTACACATGTGAATCACCTGGAGAGCTTTCATAAGCTATTTTGGTGGTGTTAGGGGAGCATCCCACACGAATTGGAACAACCTCAGGGTGGCATCCTGGGCATCAGAATTTTTTCGTCTTTCTTTCTTCCTTTCTTTTTTTCTTCTTTATTTCCTTCCTTCTTTCCTTCTTTCCTTCTTTCCTTCCTTCCTTCCTTCCTTCCTTCCTTCCTTCCTTCCTTCCTTCCTTCCTTTCTTTCTACCTATATGATATAAAAGAAGCAACTGAATGACCAAATGACCAGTCAACTGGTTGTTATGATGTGCACTGACCAACAGGGGGCAGACGCTCAATGCAGGAGCTGCCCCTTGGTGGTCAGTGTGCTCCTACAACCAACCTCCCATGGTCCCTTCCCCCAGCTGGTTGGCCCTGATTGGCCCTGATTTGCCCCAATCGCCGACCAGGCCAAGGGATCCCATCCATGCATGAATTTGTGCCCTGGGCCTCTAGTTGAGATATAAAAGACATGTAATATTATATTAGTTTCCGATGTACAACATAATGATTTGCTATATGTATATTTTGCAAAATAACCCATCACCACATGTGTGGCATTTCTTTAATCAAGAAGGATATCTCCAAGACCTCCCATGAAGAGTAAGGGGTTCCAGCTCCACACCAGACCCCCAGCCCAGGGTTCCAGAGCTGGGAAGAGAAGTCCCCATAACATTGGGCTGTAAAAACCAGCGGGGATGCCCTAGCCAGTTTGGCTCAGTGGATAGAGCATTGGCCTATGGACTGAAGGGTCCCGGGTTCAACTCCAGTCAAGGGCACATGCCCAGGTTGTGGGCTCCATCCCCAGTAATGGGTGTGCAGGAGGCAGCCAATCAATGATTCTCTCTCATCATTGATGTTTCTATCTTTCCCTCTCTCTTCCTCTCTGAAATCAATAAAAAAAATATGTTAAAAAACCAGCAGAAATTGTGGCTGAGTGACACGGAGGGTGTGGAGTCCCAGGTGTTCCTTTTAAAGGGCCTGCGTACAAACTTACACAGTCCTGATTCCTCTGAGCTCCAGTGCCAGGCAGTGGCTTTGGGGGGAATTGAGGGGAGGAACTGGACTGTCTGGCATTAGGGCAGGAACTCAGGGGTGACTTTCTCCTAGACAGGGGTGCTTGCAGGGGTCATTGTTCCTGTGCTGGGACCTTCCCCATTGCAGTGCTGACTGGCAGCCATATCTGAGTTTCCATCAGCATGGCCCACACTGTCTGCTCTGCCCTGGTGATTCCCTGAGACTCTGCCCCATCCAATTTGCAGCCCCAACCAGGCTGTTTGCAGCTGCTTTTCCATATGAGTGGCCTGTGCTGGCACAGGCTTCAAACTTTGCTAACATCTCTTAAACAAGCAGCACCTGGAGTCAGCATGCCCCAAACAGTATCAATTAAAGACCCAACAACCAGCACTAGCACCAGCCTGCCTTGCCTCAGAGCTGGGCCTCACCTGGGCACTTCCTAGCCCAAT